GAGTGAACTCCAAACAATCTGATTTTTAGTGGGGATTTATAAATGAAGAGGGACCTGTGTGAGAATTGAGTTCATTGACCAACTTTTAAACTGGTGGAGTCACAGTTCAGAAAGGGAGAGGCAGGATGGAGGTTGAGCTTTCCTCCTTCAACAGTAGTTGAGATTAGCAATGTGGAATTTGCTAATCAATTCAACATATTCCATAATTGTCCAGACTAGCCATTTTTTGGGGTTCCACAAATGAGGGCAATCAAGAATCTGGATAAAGGACACACCTTATCATGAAAACTTTGGTTACAGTAGTCCAACCAAATATATCTACATAAACTGTTGTCGCCTGTCTAACAGGACTGTCATTTTTCTGGATGTAGCTATACAGTCTGAGAGAAAAGGTTTGTGTGCTCTAATATAAACCCCTAGTCTCTGGAGCACATGAACATAAAGCTCTTTTCAATTTTTAAAAATAATTTTTAGATCATATCTACATCATATCCATGTTTTCTTTCCTGTCCCCAAGCCCTACCATGACTCCACAGTGTTTTCTAATTAATAGATAATTTTACTTAAATTACAGTTACAGAGTAATAACAGTTACTGTTTGAATATGACATGCATTTGGCTGCAATATTTCCCAGCTATGAGTTCAAGGGTTGGCGGCACTACACATTGAGTGTAAATGGATTGTACACACAAGGGACCCTTTGCTTTGCACCAGTTACAGGATGTGTCCTAGGAGAGTAGAAGAATGTCTACAAACTTTCTTGACTAGGCCTTTGTCTGCTGGGCTGGAAGGGCAGAGATGGAAAGACTGTGCTACCTGATTCACTTGATCTCAGATCACCTGGTAGGGTGACTGCTAATATTCTAGGCCAAGCTGGGTGGTCCTAGCCAATGAGGGACTCTGGGAAGGCTTAGCAATCAGGAGTACTGGTGGCAGGTAGCTTCCAGTTTCTTTCCAGGATTCTCCCCTCCTTCTGCTCTAGGGAGTTGTATGGAATAACACAAGCTATACCATGGTGAGTTAGGGTATTCAGAGTAGGCGTGCTAAGCTGTCATTTCTGCTGGAATTTGTATGGACCATGAGACAGACTGTGATTCTCTTGGTCAGTGTGTTGACCAGGGCTGTTGTCCTTGTCATTTGAGCCTCCCTGTATATGGATTTCTTGGATGGGGGAGATTTTACAGCCCTGGCATAGGAGAATGTGATACTTGTAGTATCACTGTCCAGTATACATGCACAGGCAGTTCGTTTGGTATGCAGTGGGAGCACAGATTGGAAAACTGACAGTCTGGTTTCTAGTTTTAAGTTTGTCTTATAAATATTACAGATAATTTAGAAATATGGTAGAAAGATGGTGATATGGATTGTCTTTCAGCAATACATGATTATAATAGTTTTACCTCACTGCTGCCACCAGCCACAATACTCTGATTCAGTAAAGTTTAGTTCCAGAAGACAAAAGGAATTTCTGGGCTGCAGAGATTTCACAGGTGTGCATGGTGTTGGGCAGGCAGTTAGGGCAGGATCCACATCTTGGTCTATAATCCAAGTGGCAGGAAGCAGATTTTAAATTATTCTTCCTTGTTGCATTTTGGGATCAGTAATCAGTGGGGCTGGGTTTACCTGAAACCACAGGAGGCATAAAAGGCATAAAAGGCTACAGAACCAAAGCAAGAAATCTGCTAATTTTGCAGAGAGAGAGCTCTAGAGCATGGGGCTTCTATCTTTGGAAGAAATATCAGTAGCTAAAGGGTCAGAAACAACTGGCTTAGGGTCACTTTGAGTTAATTTAATTGGAGTTTTGAAGTCTGTGTTTATTTAATCTCTATACACATAGATTCATAGGTAGTTCCATACCATTGGTCAAGATAACATTTTCCTGGCTAAGTTTCTTTTGTTCTTTGGGATAATACTTGACTATATTTTCTGGCCTCTGTTCTTGGCTTTTTCTCTCCATCCTCTTTATTCTTTGACAAATATTGTACACATTTTGATTGTTGTAGCTTTTTGGTAAGTATATAAGTCATATATATAAGTCAATCTGTGTACTATGTGTTCATAATCCCATTGAACATTTTGAGTATTTCCAGTGTGATTGCAGCTCTTTTTAATTAAATTTTTTTTTGTGAATGTAGCTTTGTAATCAGCATTTTGTTATAAATTGTTGGGCATTGTCATTGGACTGTATTCATTTTATGCTGCAAAATTACCACATACAGTGTCTTAATTATGCTGGGTCATGTTCATAAATATCACTCATTTATTTTTTTATTTAGGTGTGTTATTGTTGTTGTTAATCTGTGAAAGAGTTTTGGCTTATTGGATAAAACATATTGTGAATCTTGGCAGGTGGTTTAGTACATCTTCTTTTTGGGGATGACTAGAGTTCAGATAATACCACTCAAGTAGCTTATAATTTTCTATATTCTATATCCTGTATACTTGTAGAAAACATGCTTCCTCATGTACAAACATATGCAAATATAGCAATAAACTTGGTAAACTGGTAAGTCCTTATACCATCAATTCTATTACCATCAGTTCTTCTCTTCTACATCACAATTTAGCAATGACACACTACTTTGTACTGAAGATCATAGTGCTAATTCAAATTGGCCTTAATAATAAAAACCTGGAGTCAGATACCAGGGTTAATGGTGAAAGATCAGGGAAGCAGAGCAGCCAGTCCCTAGTTCTTACCTCTACTGAATCAGACCAAAGGGGTGATTCTGTCCCTAGGAACCTTCAGACTGAATACAATGAGCTTTTCTCTCCCCTCACCTTATATTTCTCTTTCCATCCGGTCTTATTATTCCTATCTCCAACTCCCAAGTACTGGGTAAATGGTTTGAGCCACCACCACCTGGCCCTGTTTCACTTTTAGACTGAATTAATCTGGTATAGCCCAGGATGGCCTTGAAATCATAGAGATCCGCCTGCCTCTGCCTCCTCAGAGCTGGTGTTAAAGGTGTGCTCCACCATGGCCAGGCCTCTATGGCTAACTACTACCTAGCTCCACACTCTGGTTTTCAGACAATCTTTGTTTTGTTTTATTTTTTGTTTGTTTGTTTTTGTTTTTTGAGACAGGGTTTCTCTGTGGAGCTTTGGAGCCTGATCTGGAACTCCCTCAGAGATCCTCCTGCTTCTGCCTGGCATGTGCTGTGATTAAAGGCATGGGCAACCACAACCTGGCAAGCTTCATTTGTTCAAGGACAAAATACCACCACACTTGGAGAAAGAGTTTAGAGCTTCACAAAACTAATGGATCCTACTGAGGTGATGGGGATCATCATTCATTAATGAATTATCGGAATACTTTTAAATCTCTGCTACCTCCAGTTACAATGCCATGATTCAGGAAAGTTAAGATCAAGGGAACAAAATAAATTTCTGATCTGCAGAAGTTTCTCAGGTGTGCATGGTGTTGGGTGGGTGGATAGGGCAGATTTCACATGACATGTTGTGTCATGATACATGTGGCAGGAAGCAGACATTAAATTATTCTAAGTTATTTTCTGTGTAGGCATCAGTGGGGCTGGGTTTGCCTCAAACCACATGGGGACATAGAGTTTGGAGAACCATAGCAAGAGATTTCCCCCATTTGTAGAGAGAGCTCTAGATCATGGGGAAGAAATATGGATACTGGAGTGTCAAAAGCAGAACTGTTTAAGGGTCCTTTTGAGTTAATTTTTGTGGGAGTTGTGAAGTCTGTTTATTTAATTTCTAAACACATGGAATCATGCATAGCTGGGTAACATTGGTCAAGATCTCAGTTTACCTGGCTGAGTTTCCTTTGGTCTTTTGATGAAAAGTGGATTGTATTTTTCTGCTTTTGTTCTTGGCTTTTTCTCTCCATCCCCTTTATTCTTTCCCAAATACTATACACCTTCTCAATTGCAGTAGATTCATTATAAGTATAGAAGTTACACTGTGTGAATGTGTGTACTATTCTTTGTAATTCTCTTGGGAATTCTATCTGTTTGCAATTTTCATATAGGTTTGGAATCAGATATCCTGTTATAAGGTGTTGGGAATTTTCTTTGGATTGTTTTCAATTCATGTTGCAAATATACCTTACATGGTATCTTAATATTGAGGCATCAATTTCCCAATGATTATTTACTTCTTTGTTTATGTAGGCTTTTTTATTCTCATTGTTTTTACTGTGCGAAAGACCTTTACTGTTTCACCTAAAAAGGAATATGAGGCTTGGCAGTGGCTTAGCATATATTCTTCTTTGGGCTGGCCTTTGTTCAGATCCCAACACCCAAATTTGGAGGCCCATAACTCCAGATCTGGGGTATCTGACTCCCTCTTCTCTGGTATGTCACAAGTATATACATGGAAAACCTGCCTCTACACACAAACTGTATACACAAAAAATTGGGATAAACTTGTTTTGAAAATTGTTGTTACTTATAAAGCAATAAGAACAAAACCACTATAAATCATACACTATATCTTTTTAAATTTATTCTAAAATTTTAGTTTTCATTTTACATACCAACCACAGTTGCCCTACCTCCCTATCTCCTACCCTCTAATCTCCTTCCCATCCCCCATCCACTCTTCACAGAGGGTAAAGCCTTCAACAAAATCTGTCATATCAAGTTGTTGTAGGTCCAAGCCACTCTATCCTGTATCAAGACTGAGCAACGTATCTCACCATAGAAAGTAGGCTCCAAAAAGCCAGTTTATACACCTGAAATGGGTCCTGGTTTCATTGCTAGGGGTCCCCCAACAGATCACATCACATAACTGTCACCTACATTTAGAAGGTCTAGTGTGGTGCCATGAAGGTTCCCCAGCTGTCAGTCCATGGTGTGTGAGCTCCCACTAGTGACAGTAGGAGGAGATGTAGCTTTGTTGGAGTGAGGTTTTCCTTGTTAGAGGAAGTATGTCACTGTGGGGTCAGGCATTGCAGTTTCTTTTTTTTTTTAAGATTTATTTATTTATTATGAATACAACATCCTGCCTCCATGTATGCCTGCACGCCAGAAGAGGGCACCAGATCTCATTACGGATGGCTGTGAGCCACCATTTGGTTGCTGGGAATTGAACTTAGGACCTCTGGAAGAGCAGTCAGTGCTCTTAACTTCTGAGCCATCTCTCCAGCCTGGCATTGTAGTTTCTTATCCTCAGGATGCTGCCCAGTGTGTCAGTCAACTTCCTGTTAGTCAAGACGCTAACCTTTAACACCGCATGCTGTTATGCCCTCTGTCATGATGATGATTAACTGAATCTCTGAAATGTTAAGGAAGAAACCTCAATTAAATGTTTTCTGTGTAAGAGTTGCCATGGTTCATGGTATCTCTTCACAGCAATAAAAACGTAACAAAGAGAGAAGTTGGTACCAGGGTCTGTGGTATTTATATTATAGGTTGGCCCTATCATACAATTTCTCTGTGGTGTTCTCAGTAGTGTTGATCTACTTGCTTGTTTCTCTCTTTATGTCTGTTCATTGGGATTTCTTTCTCAAGGCTATATATAGCCTACATATAGGGGCCAGAAATAGTGCATGTGAACCTCCTAGTCACTCTTCTTCTAAAGTTACTGTCATGAAAAAAGTGTGGGAAGCACCAGAATTCTCTATCTTGTGAAAGAAGCATACATTTACAGTGTCAGTATCACACTTCATGTTTTACATATTTATGAGTTATTTTAGGATGCAGTGACCTATGATGATGTGCACATCAACTTCACTCAGGAAGAGTGGGCTTTACTTAATCCTTCCCAGAAAAGTCTCTATAAAGATGTGATGCTAGACACCTACATGAACCTCAGTGCTGTAGGTAAGACTGAATTTTCCTTCATGATTAAAATAAGAGGACAACTGTTTCATGGTGTTTAATAATTTTCTGTGATTTCGAAAATTAGGTGAATAAAGCATCGTTCTAATGTTCATTGAAGATATTAACTTAAATTTTGTACAATTTACATTAACATACTTTATATTTTCTGGTATTGTATTTTAGGCTACAGTTGGGATGACCATAGTATTGAAGAACATTGTCAAAGTTCTAGAAGACCTATAAGGTAATTTTCTTGGGCATATTTATACAAATTTGCCTCTTAAAAATTTTTAATGTTTCCTGGATTGTTTAAAGAAAGAAAAGCAACAGTATAAATCAGAGCAGCTTGAAGTTTATTAATGATTCTGAATTTCTCACAAAAACATGTACCTCAGTGTCAGGTAGCTATTCCTGTGAAAAAGAAAACAATGCCTTAACAGATACCATTTGCCATATAGCCCCATGAGATCTAAGCTGTAGAAATGACAATCTGTTTAGTTTAATACCACTCATATATTTTAAATGATATGCACATTGATTAGATGATACAAATATGTCCATAGCCTTCAAAGAAAAAACAGTCTGTATTAAAGCTGGAATTACTCATATATTTGTGACTGTGCTAAGCATATTGAAAGGGTCAGTTTATGAGAGTCAAGAAGGTTGTTGTGGAGAAACCTTAATTCCAAAACCACATGTCTGTGAGGAAAAGAAAGTCAAACTGTGTGAATTCAATGTGGAAACCTGTTATTTGTTATTCTTCCTTTAAGAAGAATATCATGTCCAGCAGGGCAGGGGTAGTACATGCCATTAATCCCAGCACTTGGGAGGCAGAGACAGGTAGATTTGTATGAGTTGGAGGCCAGCCTGGTCTACAGAGGAAGTTCTAGGACAGGATTCATAGCTACACACAGAAAGCTATCTCAAAAAAAGAAAAAAAGAATATCATATGTCACTCTAAATATAAGCTATGTGAGCATAGAATATGGAAAGAAGCAATGTATCTTTCTCTCTCTCTCTTTCTCTCTCTTGGATAAATGAGAAGATATGAAAGATTTTCAGTAGTCCCCACTTTGGGAAGAAATGTTGAATGTGATACAAGTTTACAGCTAATTGGTGTTCCAAATTCATTATAAAGATACCAACAAATACATACTGCAGAAAACCACTATGAGCATTGGATTGTATGAATACTTCCATTTATCCTGGTACAATCTGCCAATGTAGTATGACTCACACTATAAGAAAACTTATGAAGGCTATAAATATGGCAGAGATCTGAATTCCTCCAGTTCTTTTCAAATATGTGAAAAATCTCATATAAAAAAGATGTCGGCTGGGTGGTGGTGGTGCACGCCTTTAATCCCAGAACTCAGGAAGTAGAGGCAGGTGGATCTCTGTGAGTTTGAAATCAGCCTGGTCTATGAGAGCTAGTTCCAGGATAGCTCTAAAGCCACAGGGAAGCCCTGGTTTGAAAAACCAAAAATAAAATAAAATAAAATAGAAAAGATGCCATAAATGTGGGCCATGAAATGAAGACTCTTGCTATCTCACAGGTGTCTTCAAAGTCACAAAACAACCCTTCATGAAGGGAAGCATCATGAATGTAAAATATAAGATCTGATTCCTCTTTATAATTAAGCCAAATTATAAAATTAATTTATACAGATACAAAGCTTCATCAGTATAATGCATATGGTAAAGCTTTTATATGTGGCAATTATCATTGCAGGAATGAAAGATGCCATATAGGAGAGAATCCCTGTGAATATATTCAGTGTTTTAAAATCTTTGTGTGTTACAGGTGTCTTCAAAGTCATGAAAAAATTCATACTGGAGAGAAACCGTATAAATGTTTTCTTTATGGTGAAGTCTTTGCATCTCACAGTTGTTTCCAACTCCATAAAAGAATACATACTGGAGAGAAAACCCATGAATGTAGTCAATGTATTAATGCTTTTGCAAGTCATGGTGTGCTTAAAAGATGTGTAAGTGCACATGTTGGAGAGAAACTCTATGAATGTAATCAATGTGGAAAATCATTTTCAGAATGCTCTAAACTCCAAATACATAAAAGAACACATACTGGAGAGAAATCATATGAATGTAATCAATGTGGGAAAGCATTTTCAGAATGCTCTAGACTCCAAAGACATATAAGAACACATACTGGAGAGAAACCCTATGAATGTAATCAATGTAGTAAAACCTTTTCACAAAACTGCGGTCTCATAATTCATAAAAGAACACATACTGGAGAGAGACCCTATGAATGTAATCAATGTGGTAAAGCCTTTTCACAAAACTGCAGTCTCAAAAGTCATAAAAGAACACATACTGGAGAGAAACCCTTTGTATGTAACCATTGTGGTAAAACCTTCTCACATGGCAGTGGTCTCCAATATCATAAAAGAATACATACTGGAGAGAGACCCTATGAATGCAATCAATGTGGTAAAGCTTTTGTAAGTCATGGTGACCTTAAAAGACATGAAAGAACACATACTGGAGAGAGACCCTATGAATGTAATCAATGTGGTAAATCTTTTCCACAACACTGTGGTCTTGTAAGTCATAAAAGAACACATACTGGAGAGAAACCCTTTGTATGTAACCATTGTGGTAAAGCCTTTTCACGTGGCAGTGGTCTCCAATATCATAAAAGAATACATACTGGAGAGAGACCCTATGAATGCAATCAATGTGGTAAAGCTTTTGCAAGTCATGGTCAGCTTAAAAGACATAAAAGAACACATACTGGAGAGAGACCCTATGAATGTAATCAATGTGGTAAAGCCTTTTCACATCACAGTACCCTCTTAACTCATAAAAAAACACATACTTGAGAGAGACCCTGTGAGTATAACTTGGGGGGTAAAGTATTTGTATGTATCATCAGTCATTAAAATCATGAAAAAACATCATACTGCAGAGAAACCCTATAAATATAAGCAGTGTGTCAAAGTTGTACATTTTGAATATCACAATAATCTTTGAGGGCCTGAGAAAATTCATACCAAAGGGAATCTTACTAGAAGGGATTTGGTACAATCTTCAACCAACACATATTTGGCTATACAAGATTCTGGAGAGAAAAAAAATCTGACAAATGTCAACAATCTGTTCAAGTATTATGATGTCTCTCTTTTGTTTGCACCTGCAAATTTGTATGGAAAAATTTTATGAATTCATTTATAACACTTTTTGATTTCATACTTTATTATATAAAAAAACCTCATTCAGATTGGTTGATTTCTCTAAATTCAATCCTACATTCTTGCTTTCAGTTCTATGAATGAGTTCATGATGAAGGGAAACTGTTAGACTTTAAATGCCTCAATACCTGGGTTACAGGAATGACTGCTTACAAGACAAAATATTCACATGTGCAATCTGTTTGGTTAAAGATTTGGTTTAATTATGTGAGGTTAGTGTGTGGGTTTATGAATGTTCATGCTTGTTCCCAAGAACATTAGACCCTTGAGTATTCCTGTAGCAGGAACTAAGGAAGTTCTCAAAAACCTGACCTAGGTCTTGGCAATGAACTTGTCATAATTTTGCTTGTCCATGTATCTAACCCTGTACATATTTTAAATCCTTTTTGTATCATCTTGATATCAGGTAACAAAGAAGAACTCATGAAAGAGAAAACCCAATTCATGTAAACAATTTTGTAAAAACTTCAAACTTGTCTTTAGTTTCAATAAAAAATTGTTTCATGTGATTCCGGGCTGTTAATGAGTTCACCAGATTGGCAATAAATGATAAGTAGGTGTTTAATTGGGGAACAGCTTACAAAGATAATAATAAGGAGTCATTGTGGCATTTCTGCTCTAGAAGGTACGGTCCTTATCTTACTAATGCAATCTGCAACCCAAGAGAGAGTGTGAGTGAGAGAGCTCAATACACTCCTCCACCTTCTGGTCATGTATGCAGAACCAAAGGCACAGCACAGGAGACAACTTCCACTTCCTCAGAAGAGCTGAGGAGAAAGCCTGCCTCCCATCTGACTGGAGGATCCATTAGAGGCTCTGATTGGCTAGTGAGGCCTGAGTGACAGGATGAAGTAAGCAGAAGAGACACAGCACAATGGTTTAATCTGAGCAAAGAATCCCTGTGTGGCCCCAGGGGAAGAGAAAACCAGAAACCATAAGGTGAATTCTGAGGTGGGAGCTTTTACCACAAACTCCAGGGTTGGAGCCATCAATAATGGACATTTTAGAGACTGGAGAAGGTACTCCAGGTAAGGGCCCACCCTTGGCACCTTGGCTATGGGGTTTGGAACAAGTTTACCAACACATTTCAATCACTTTGTGTAGACATAGAAGTCAGTAGGTCTTCCATCTAAACAAGCCAGACTCCCTGGGTATAGGGGAGGTCAGTTTAAGTCTGGCTTCTTGCTGATATGGAATGATGTGGGGAGGGGGGAGTCAGGCCCCAGTGGGCTCATTCAGCATGAGGTATGGGCCTGTGTACCTCAGGCATCTGTTCTTTGAGAGGTGGAGAAGGCAGATTGGGTGAAGCTTCTGCCATAACAGGGAAGTGCAGGTGGAGAGAGGCTGATGAGAGTCTAGATGGTGTTTGGTAGCACTGTTGTTACAATCCCCACCCTCAAGGTGCCAAGGGTAGGCTCTCCCCTGGATTTACCTCAGTTCATACTCCACACTTAAAAAGCCTGCCATTGTTTCCCAGAGAAGGGGAAAGGGACAAGATCAGCAAAGGGAGACAAAAGTAGGGGAAAGAGAAGAGGGTGGACAACATGAGGATCAGGAAGACTGAGACAGGGGAGGAATACAGGAGAGCTATAAAAGAGATGCCATAATAGAGGGAGTCAATATAGGTTTAAAGAGAAATCTGGCACTAGGGAAATGCCCAAAGATATACATGGATGACCACAACTAACAATCTAAGCAATAATGAAGAGGCTACACCTTAAATGCCCTTCTCTCATAATGAGGTGAATGACCACATTAAATGCCATCCTAGAGCCTTCATCCAGTAGCTGAAGCTGAGACCTATAGCTGAACACTGAGCTGAACTCCTGGAACCCAGCTGCAGAGAGAGAGGAGTGATGAGCAAAGGGGTCAAGACCAGGCTGGAGAAACCCACAGAAACAACTGACCTGAACAAGGGGGAGTTCATGGACCCCAGACTGATAGCTGGGAAACCAGCATAGGACTGATAATAGACCCCTTTCAATGTGGGTGCCAGTTCAGAGGACAGGGCAGTCTATAAGGTCTTTGTCAGGAGAAAAAGTATTTATCCCTAGTGCACAAAGGGATTTGGGAGCCTATTCCAAATAGAGGGATACTCTCTCAGTCTAGACACATGGATGAGGGCCTAGGCCATGCCTCAAATGATACAACTTCCCCCATAGAAGTCCTCACCCTCCCTGGGGAGCAGAAAGGTGATGGGATAGGGGGTTGGTACAGGGCATGAGAGGATGGAAGGGAAAGGGAATTGGGATTGATAATGTAAAATAAGATTGTTTCTAATTTAAATAAAATTTATAAAATAAAAAACAGAATAGGAAAGATGGGGTGGTAAATACCTTAACTAGCAATTGCTGTTGCAATAGCCCTGAAGTACTGGTGCTGCAGGGAAGATTATGCATAATGTGCTGGAGCAGTTACAGTCTCCTTGTGTTCTGTGGTCCTCCCACCATACCCCATTGAACATTTTCATCTTGGATGACTTTGAAATCATGAAATTCCTACCTCCATTTTCTAAGTACCATGATTACAGGCCTCTGCCACCAAACCTGGCTTAGAGAGCTTCAACTTCACTTAGTGAGGCATTAGATTGATAGGATGAGTAACATGAGGAGTTGCACTAGACTATATTCAAAATCTGCTTATCTCTGTGAGCCTGGGTTTTTACCATTTGCAGAATAAGGCAGAAATTTTACCATTTCCTTGATGAGTTACAACAGACTCATTGATGAGGAAAAATAATATATCTCATAGTTGGAAGACAGTGGACTTTAAGGCAGAAAGACTGCATTTGATGGGAACATTTTTCTGTTACTGGACTTAGAACCAGAAACAACCAGGCTATCATAACCAACCAGGCTCAGTCACTCTCCTCAGTAAGCCAATTAAATGAACCAACCAACTTCTCTAGTGATATGCCCAACTATAATGCAGGTACTCTAGAGTCAAGATGTACATATCTCTCTAAAGTCCTAGGACAGCCGAGTCTATAGCATGAGTTCTAGGCCAGATAGGGAGTCATAGTAATACTATTCTTAAAAAGAAGAGAAATAGTAATAGAAAAGGGAGAATGAAATAATTTTTAAAATTTTAAGTCATATTTATTGTTTGACTAATTTGGAACAGTAAAGAACATCTATGGTAAGTAATCCATCCCTGGGGTCCTAACAGGCTTAGATAGAAAGCAAATATATGCAAAACTAAATATCTAATGAAGCCAAATATTGAATTTTCCCATCTCTAAAGCACTCCCACATTCTCAGTTCCTGTCTATCCAGTAAGGTTGTCAGATATGAAGTAAATGTTTCTTTAATAGAGACATTCTCATTTGGAAGTCTCAAGTCTTTTCCCACAATGAGATTCCTAGGGAAATTAGAATTTTTTAAGTCTACTGTTTCACTAGTTGTAGGCCAAAAGTAGCCACCATGAAGTTGACTTCTGATCTCCACATAACTATCATGGTCTAAACACCTGTAATCACATTGCAGTCACACACATATAAGAGAAAATATTTGTTTTTAATAAATCAAATTGCCATGACATTATAAAGCCATCTATAGATAATCCCCTTTGAAAGCAGTACTTCAAGATGAAGTGCCCCATGGGAAAATAATGGGGACATGAAGAAGCATGGAATTTCAAATAATAATTACATATGTACATATCCATAGTACATGAAGATATGTTGTGAAATAATGGCATGGATCACATGGTGACCATTGCTGCTTGACAAAGTTCCAGCATGAGTGATCAGAGAGAAGCAACAAGGACACACCAGAATCCAGATACACAGAGTCCTAGTGTAGCCCTAGGGAAGCCTTCTCCCATATCCTCTACTGTCCACCAGGTCTAGGTCACACTGAAGAGAGCTATGTGTCTACAGCTGTCCAGGCATCACTGTTGCACACAGAATTTGCTCTACATGTCAAGGTTATCTGGAGTCCAGAATGGTACTGCACTAATCCAGGTCCTCCAGTGATCTCCTAGTCACTTCTGTTTTCATTGGCCAATCAGCTGGCAGAGGATACAGCTGCAGGATCTACCTCCCTGGCTTTCTGCTCCTTAGCTTTGATTCATAGTAAACTGAGTACATGGCCCTAGAAATCCCTGTAGATGCCCAGGCACTGCACTAGGACAGGTATGAGGGGCATAGGAGAGAGGGACTTGATGATGAGACACCAACAACATAAAGATCTACCCCTGGGGTCCATCCTACTCTGTAGCCCCAACCCCAGCCCAGGACATATTGGGCCCCTTGTGCTGAACCTAGGGAAAAGGTACACAGAATGCTTGTCCTTGCATGTTTGGAGGGAGGAGAGAGGGATCTATGGCAGAGGCCAACATTCAAATTCTAGAAGATTTGCCAGACATTCATTGACCCAACTTCAGGAACACAGTTGTAATCCTTGCCTCCAACCAAGAAGTGTCTAAAGTCCCATCTACTCCCATCTATTCATCATGTGAAGTGCAGGGAAGAGCTTCTTTCCACCCTTCAGCCCTTGGGTAGTCATCTTTCACTGTTCCCATAGGAAGGGACACCCTGAGGCTCTTAATAGGAGTTGGAGACTCTGGAAGACCTGGCCCCTCTAGCTCCTTGCCTACCTGAGGGAGGCCTTGGAACATCACTCCTGCAACATCACTAAAGACTGCTATTATTCCAGGAAATTGCTTGTTCCCTCTTCCCATGCTCTTCTCTGGTCTATAGGGTACAGCCCCAAGGAGGACACAGTCATGCAGATGATATAGCGAGAAACTTCTCTTGTCCTGGCTCACTGTGAGCTTGAAAAGTGTGATTGATCTCCTGCAGGAGGTGATCACACCAGGCCACCACATGCAAATGAATGCTGCCATGATTACTGATTGCCTGGCTATGTGAAAATTCATTGCAGTTACTACTTCCTCTGTCCCTTATTCTCATGTGTCTTTGGTTTCACTGCCTGTCCATGACCCTCTTACCTGCTTTTTCCTTAAGATCCTTATATCAATATGGGATCTTTAGACAGTGAAAATGAAGTGAGATAAATGGACATGAAGAAAGGTATCCAAGCTCTGCAGAAAAAAACACCCCCATATTGCAAAGGCTTGCAGGTCACTCTTGGAGAGGACTGGGAAGCATAGTGAATTCCAAGGACTAGAGACAGGGACATCATCCAGAAAGGTCTAGGAAATATCATTCAGGATGGTCTAGGGTAGAGCCCCAAGGATGTTTAGGTGCACACATGGTGGAACATAGCTGTGACATTACAAGAAAAACTGTCACATTTGTAACCCAGGCTATATGTTCAAGCTTGGTCAAAGTGACCTTCTTTAAGTAGCCAAACAATAGAAGCTGTCCAAGCATTCATAAATGGGACAGGGATAAAAACGGTATTTCCAGCTGGACGGTTTGGTCCATGCCTTTAATTGAAGCACAATGAGTAACACTCAGACAATCTGTAGAGTTTGAGGACAGCCTGATAAACAGAGCAATCCCATAACTGCAAGGGCTACAAAGAGAAATTTAAAATTCAAG